GAGGCACTCAATGCATTAGGCTCGTGGCATATGAGGGCGCTTATTTGGTTTATATTACAATATAAATTATATATTATTTTTCTATTATTATTTATTATCATAATTTTCCTCCTCGATTTTAAATATTATCAATCGAATTATATATATTTTTCTTAACTTTTACTTTTATATATTATATATATTATATTACTTATGACATTTATATTGTGCAAAATGTAGACCCTGCCTGACATCGTGAGAACGTGGCTGCGCGCGTTTTAAGGTGGTACACTGGCTGGTGATATGGTACTCTTTTTGTTTTTACAGTACTGTACTTTGGAAAGAGATTAGAGAAAAATCAATCTAGGCATAGGATAAGTAAAGAAAGTATCTTTTTTAACCAAGTAAGATAAGTATCCTAGGCTAGGCTAAGTTTAGCCTATAAGCTATTTAGGCTAGGCTAAGTTTAGCCTATAAGCTAGCTAGGCTAGGCCCTAGGCTAGAGCTATTAGGGCCATGGGTTGATAGCCCAAGCGGTGAACAAACAATGGGGTCACAAGACGATCGTTAATTAAAACGTTCATTATTAATAATAAATATGACAGATATGATGTGTTTATTGTTCCGACACCGTAGTATCAAATTTCAATCAATTTACCGCCCTTACTGTAGGCCTATGTAGGGGGCCTATCCTCTCTAGAGCAGGCCTAGGTTAGGCCTAGCTACAGTGTAGGGCCCGCTAGGTTTGAAAAAATGCTAAATTTACTGTGGCTGCTGTCACTGTTTACAGACGAGGAACAGCCAGGAGTTCCTTGTCTCTAGACAGGAACAGTACGAGTATCGTATCGCATGATGACGTCATCGGCCAAACACCGTTCGTAAAATAGAAGGTTCGTAATTGGGAACGTCGACTGCAGTCGACCTTCTCAATTACGTACTCTTTGGTCTAGAAGGCGTTCGTAATTGAGAAAATTCGTAATTGAGAAGTATGAAGAAATAGCGCACTCTAGATAGATGTTTTAACCATGTGTGTGCGCTTAACGATTGTCACGGCCTATAGGTATGGTCTATGACTGGTCTAAGTTTACACAGAATATTTACAATGTGACGGAATTCGTAGCAAACAACAACAGATTCAAAAATATTATATATTATTACTGTATAGACGAACCTCTCTCCATTGTGCTATTATTTACCCATAGCCTCAGTGCCACATCCAATGCAAAATCAAGAAGTACTCCGCATGGGCGACGATCGTTTAACCATGTGCTTGTTGCGCAGATGGATTTATGCTTTGCGCTGAATGGCTATGCACGCTCCAGGGTTTTAGCATTGTGAACCAACCGCCGCACTGCTGCCAGCCTTTGATCGCGAGTCCGCAATACACGAACGAACGTATAAGACGTGATTCTTTTCTGTGCTGCATATAACTGATGAAACACTTTCAGAAGCGCCATGAGCGTCATATTTGGCGGATACCGGCACTATATAAATGTTCTATTCAATTCTATTCAAACAGATAAATTACAAACACAAAGGATGGGTATGATTTAAACAAATAAAAAAAACAACCACATTAGACGGACATGAACGAATTTATGAAC